TTGAAAACAAAATGCGCATATATAAAATAAGGTTTTATAATGCACCTTGTAAAGTTGTTCACGTTGCGCCTTAAAGTTTATTTCTTTTTTTAAAATAACCATACAAGATGATACAAAAAAAAACTGGCCATTCATTATGCATCACTCGTTATTTGAACAGTTTGATTTTATTTATCTATTTACGAAGAATTATGGACTGGTTCCAGCAGGAAAGTACAGAAAATCAATGGAACTTGAAAGCGGTATTCCAGACCGAAAAGCCCCCAGACTTTTTCGGTGACTCACAGTGAACTTTCTGCTCTTTTCGGCAGAAAACAACTGTAAACTGTCGGAAAAGATCCTGAGACTTTCCAGTCCAGAATACGGTTTCATGTTTCATCGATACCCAGTGTTTTCCTATCAGATACCATGATTTTTCTCACAGTTTTTCGACTGATTCCGGAGAAATGCGATTGTTTCTGAAGCTTGAAATCATTGACCTGGAATGACTTCTTTTGAATGAAGTTATCTTTTTTTCTAGAAAACATTACATGATGAAACAAATGAGTATGATGATTATTATAGCACCAATCAATGGTACCATATTAGATTGTTCATGACGTCGTATATGTCTGTTTATCTTAATCGTGATCGGCTTCGTAATTAGTATCTTTCGGGAAAACCATAAAGATCGCACCAGATCCTTAGTTCATCCGGCTTTTTCACTTGTCGGATCCGACTATTGGAAATCATCAAATCCAATAGCTGACAACTTCGTATCGAAATTCTCTAACAAGGATTCTGGCAATGTTCAACTGGGCTTCATCAGCAGTTATTCGATTATTTCAGGAGTTCTATAGTGCCCGAGTCTAGAATTCTTCGTCTTTTGATGTCTTTTACGTTATACAGACAAACTACTACATAAAAACAATCACAGTAGATAAACAGACATAAGATAAAAGTAGTTGCGCACATCTCAAAAGATAAATTTCGTTCTTTTGTAGTAATATCTTTCGTATCAACTACAAAGTAAGATGCGCGCATATAACTTTTTTTTATAACTATTCTCTTAGACTTGAGACAAGCTGTTTATGAGACATAACACGTTTGTATTTATATTATTGAACTATACTTTGAACATCAATTGACAAATTACGTCGAAAAGGAAATCAATCTTGATTAAGTTAACAAAATATTTATCGTATCGATCCAAATGTTATTTTAAATATCATATAAAATCGAACTTATAGCATCAAATATCAAACGAATAATCAAAGAAATGATTGCTAAAATACCGTTATATGAACATAAAAGGTCCCATAGATGCATAAAAGATCGTTGTAAGTTCTGATTTCGGTAGTGTTTAAACAAATGGAAAATGACATTATTTTATCATGCCAATGCCCAAAAGAATATGCATAAGCAATTCACAGATAATGTCGTCTAATCCATAAACATTCTTTAACATACAATATGTAATAGGAAAACCAGAGGAAATGTAACACCATTTGTTTTTGATTAATTCTTGTTATACAACAACTAATTCTTCGATAAGAAAGAACATTTTTTTAAATATGTATAGTATTTCAAATTATTTACGCTACTAAATTCATTTTTGAAAGATGAATTCGGAAACATAAGGGAAAACTTTCTGTAAAGCTTTAAGAATTCAGAAAAGGATCGTAATAATGCCATTTTTCATATGTACAAATATCTGTGTAATACTTGGAAGGTAAAGTAAATTCTTTGTTTATTTTCAATTAAAATAGACTTCGACCAACTATCAACATTGCAATTATTTATATATTTTAGAATGTCACATCAGAAGAGTAACACTTCACAATCGATAGGCAATTTAACTAAAATATACAAACTTAATGGAAATATTACAAAAGATCGCGTACGTCTTCTTCTCATGATGTATAATGAACAAAAAAGAGGAGTAACAATTAACAAAAAGAAGAGCATTGATATGGAAAATTTACGTTTACGCCTTAATAAGTTGATACTAATGCGAAATGACGAAGTAATGAGAGTTTATTCCAACGTGAAGATAAGTAGAACCATTTCACCATTACCACCAACACCACTGCCACGACGCCCATCACCACTGGATACATCACAGGAACCATCATCACCCAATGTATCACCGAAATTATCACCACGCAATCCATCACCGAAACCATCATCATCGGTTCCTCCTCTCCGCATAGCAAATATTCTCATT